CTGTGAATGTTTGTGAGTAAACCTAGCGTTCCCATGATGCTCTGCATGCGACACACCTGTGCTACTTCCAGTCTGTGTTTCACAGCGGCGTGTGTGTGTTTGCCAGGCGCTCAGTGTGATAATGACCCACGCTTTCCTCCGCTACAGCCGTTTATTACTCGTAACGGCACAGTCTGCACCAATCAGGCTTTCAGTGAGTGATTTCTGATTATTCCAGAGCACAGCAGACGTCTCCAGTCACAGTCCATGAGCCGTTGTGTTTGAAGAACCGCTCGAATGTTTCCCAAAATCTGAGTCTCATTTGTGGTTCTCAAAAGAAAATGCCATTGATTTCCATTGGCACTGTTGATTCAGACCACTAAACAACCAGCCAGAAGAAACTCATTTTCTGAGAAACGACATATTTCACAGTGACGTATTTAAGGATCTGAGTGACATTTAGTGTTGGTTTTCTGTGAACATGCGGTGATGAATTATCCAGCTCTGCTCTCTCAGTGAAAGCGCTGGACAGTCTGGAACCACAGACATGCCGCTCTGCTTGCTTATGTGCTGCTGGTAGAAATGAAAGCTGTGTGTTTGTTCTTTAGCTTGGTGCTGAAATCTGTAGCGCAGTGTGTGATTCAGCTGATATTACAGGATCTGTGAAGACTGACAGCAAAGATCTGTGGCACTTTAATAGACTACAATACAATGAGATATAGTTTAGTTAATTCAGCTTTCATCAAGTTTAATTAAATATAGCATGAAACTGTTCAAATGTTTGGAGTCAGTAAGAATTTGTTTTGTATACTTTTATCTAAGGATGCATTAAATTGATCAGAAGTGACAGTAAGGACATTTATAATGTTACAAAACATTTCTGTTTCAAATAAATGCTGTTCTTTTGAACTTCTTGTGCTCAGTGGAATATTATTCACATTCTACACATTCTACTCATTTATTTAGTCTTGGTTAAGCATTTGGTGCTCCGATCCAGTCGCTCCGCTGCTGTTCTGGTGTATGAGCTCATGAATAAAGCGAGGCCTTTCCGTCATGTAGGTCGTCTCCTCTGAGGCTCATGGGAGTGTCTATAGATTGAGTTTAACACTCCTCCCTGTGCCGCACAATCTGCCAAATTCAAGACCTCATTTTGGACGACTGAGATCCCTTCATTCTGCTGCATCTGCTCATTTTCTCCCTAAAAACACTTCATCCACGAGCTTAGACAGATGAGGAGCTGCGCAGTCAGCGATGACCTTCACGCTCGCGCTGTACTTCTACGTTTAGCCGAGGGTCTGTTTCTGAATCCGTGTTTCATCGTCACGCTTGCTTCATCACTAACAAACAGCACAGCGGTCACTTCCATGGACCTCAGTGGTTTTCTCTCATGTTCCTCATGACCTCAGCCCACCGAGAGCCAGTAACTCAAACCTTCAGGTGTTACCCAGAAGCCTTTGATTGTCCAGTCTTCATCTGGTCTGGAGTGAACCTCTCTGCTCCGAGAAATACACGCCGTTCCCAAACGTCTTCATACTGGCGAAGTTGCACAACAGACTGCTGAAATCGTATTATCGGGCACATCTATGGAGAATTCATGAAGGGACAAGTGTGCACATGGAAATAAATAATAACAGATTACTGATCATTGAGTGTGTTTTCATGCATAACAAAACACTGACCTACATGATGACACATTATCGGGTTATTACGCTTAGGTGATTAGGTTATTATCACTGTAAGACTGTGCTTGTGAACGTATTCACTGATGTAAACAAGTCTCCAAACTCATGCATGCTTTCATGCATATAAAGATGTAAATAAACGTTGGTAAGTCTTTACCTGAAACCTTTATATTTAATGCATTATAAAAGAATTTAATGCATGAATTATGCCTTGTAATGCAGCTTATAAATTATCCATTGTATGAATAATTGTAACTGCAGTTTTTATGAAAAACTCAAGGTGTTAGTAAAACTTTTAAATGCACGCCATTGTGCCTATTATTTACTCTTTCTAAAAGGTCAATTCTGCGTGAAATTAATACATGTTACTGGTTTTAGTGTGAATGACTTATCGGTGAATACATTTATTTATTTAGACAATGTGTTATTAATTAAAATTGCGTTCATTCCAGTCTTCAGCGTTCACTTTTCACAATCCAGTCAACAGCCGAGTTCTGTCTATGCATTTCACTTGGAAACACTCAACTCTCACAATAATGTCTTGTTTGAATGACTGCATCAGGTGTCTCTGTTCACTTTTGACAACCACTTAACAGCAGGTGATATCTCACTGTTCTCACTGCTGTATAAAGCTGTGTTGGAGTCCTGATCCTGAGCTTGATGGGAATCTTGGGTTTATTAAGTCGGCGTCTCCTTGCGATAGCCTCTGATCAACGTCACAGGATAATTGGTGTAGCTGACTAATAACATGAAGCATATTTATGAGTGAAGCTGCGTCGGATCATATATATGTCGATTATATATCACTCGTTAGTGAGCGTAACTGCTGAAGCTGGATTTGGCGTCTGCGTAGACTCTTATCGCCAGGTTTCTGACTTCACAATCTCCTCATTGGTTTTATTTACTCAGCTGCATCAGATCGTGTGCATAAACACTCACACTGGTTGATATGACTCATGAATTGGTTTTTGGCCTGCTTTATATATCATGTAAAAGAAAACATTGGGAGATTCCTTTCCTTCGGGATCTGAAGTCTGAAGCTCACCGAGCTGAACTGTCATTAGTATATGAGCATAAACTCTTCATTCCGCCGTTGAGCTGTTGTGTGAGTGCTAAGATGGCATGTCTTGCTGTAGTGTGCCATTGAAGAGCCAGTGGTCCAGATCTCCAGCACTAACCCCTTTCAGATGATGGGCCGGTAACAGAGCGGCTGATTGTTTGTGCTTCTCCTGCGCTCTAATCAAGGCCATGTGTGCACTTCAGTTCTGATCTGGCTCAGTTCGGTGTGCTCGGCTGATTTGGTTACATGTAAATGAAGCTAAAGTGTGATCCACCGTGGTACAGTAGTTCTGGCAGACGCTGCTGTTTTAGTTTCTCATCTGTGAGGGAAACAATCAGATCTTTTCTGAAAACAGCAGCCGATTGAAGTGAAGCTGTAGGAGCTGCAGGGATGCCTGGAGGCAGTTTACAGCCCCGGATCAAATGTGTGCGCTAATAAAACTGCAGAACCGCTCGCCGGATCTCAGCACATGAACAGGAAAATGCATGGTGTGATTATAAAGACTTTTATTGTGGCATGAAGTATTAGCAGGACCGAGACTGTAAAGAAATACTAGAGAAGGAAAGTGTGCTTATAATAAAGTCTTTTGTTTTGTAAAGCATGCATTGTGAAGTCTGTGGATGGAATTCAAACATTTCAACATTGATAATAATCAGAAATGTTTGTTGAGCAGCAGATCAGCATATTATACTGATTTCTGAAGATCATGTGACACTGAAGACTGGAGGAATGATGCTGAAAATACAGCTGCGCATCACAGAAATACATTACAGTTTAACACATATTCACACAGAAAACAGCTAATAATATTTCACTGATCAAATAAATGCAGCCTTGATGAGCAGAAGAGGCCTTTTCCAAAACATGAAAATATCTTACCAACCCCAAATATAATAATAAAATAATTATATAGATAGATAGTTTTTAAAAATATTTTATATATCTGTTTCAGAAAAATAATGTCATTAATAAGATAATTTTTCTGTCTGTTGTCAAAAGAGGTTGTCATGTGAAATGCTAATAGATATTAACACATTCCATTTTTAATCAGATGTAACTATTTGATATTTATAATGAGATGATTTTGCCCTAGAATTGAGCTAAAACAAGCACCTCAACTCAGCATTTTCACTGATTACGATTATTATTATTATTGGTGTACATGTTTCCACTCATCCGTGTGTCTCAGAATGACCTAGAACGGCTCTGTTCAGTGAACGTGATTTAACCAAGTGCAAAATGCTCCTGGATCAACATTACAGTCCACAAATATAGACTTAACCCAATCCCAACCCCTAAACTTAACCCTACACATAATTTATTCCTAATATCAGAGGGAAATGATAGCTGATTAACAAGGGTGTAGAAACACCTAACTCTGATCGTAAGCCTAAAACTGAGATTTCCTGAGGTTATCTCTCAATTCTGATTGGTTGATTGGAATGTTGTTCCAGGATCAACAAGGATGTTAAAGGGGTCATCGGATGCGACATGCACTTTTACAAGTTGTTTGAACTGAAATGTGTGTTGGCAGTGTGTGTACACAACCACCCTACAATGATAAAAATCCCCCCAGTGCTTTTTTAAAATCACGATAAATGATAACCCCTTTCTCAGATCAAGCTGCTCTCAGATTGTTGGCTGTGTGATGTCACACAGACCCAGGCCCCTCCCACGATTGTTGATTGACACTGGAGTTTTACCTTAGCTCCGCCCTGAGTGAGCTGTCATCAGTCCGCCATTGTTTCGCCGCCGGAGCAGATGTAGACAAGAATGACTCCTGAGAGATTGAGATGTTCTGTTGCTGGATGTAATAATGAACAGCAGTCGTCATTTACTCCCGACATCTGAGCCGCTGAAGACGCAGTGGATTACATTGTTTCTGAAGAGAATGCTCCCCGATCTACATAAATGTGTCTATGTTCGCGAGAATCATTCGTGATCCAGCTTCACCAACAGAAGTCAGTGTAAAGTTTTTAATGAATCTTTGCAAATCGCCTTTCCTAGTAATATGCTAGTTAGCAAGTTCCATGACGAATGTGGCTAAAGTTTACAGTCTCATTAGGATGGCTCGTCACCCCACGGAAGAGAGGGGCAGGGTCAGCAGAGCTCATTAGCATTTAAAGGGACATGCACCAAAACATCTCGCTGTGAACAGAGCTGTTTTTGACAGGGTAAAAAGGGTGTTGTTTTACACTACCATTGAGAAATTTTAACCAAAGTATTTTATAGACTTTTCATTAAGAGCCTAAAGAATCATACCAACTTGTGGAAAATGGGCATCCGATGACCCCTTTAATCCAGGAACATGTTGTACTTGGTGAAATCACGTTCACCAGGGATAGGGTTAGGTCTATGTTTTTGGACAATAATATTGATATCTTGCATCCCGGCGTCCGGCTGTGTCCGGACGCGTTTACTGACTCTGTTCTCCGTCTGTGCAGAGCGGGACTCAAGCGCTCAGCTGGACCTCACCGAGCTCATCGGCGTTCCTCTGCCGCCATCTGTGTCCTTCGTCACGGGCCTGGAGGGCTTCCCGGCATATAGATTTGGTCCGGACGCTAACGTGGGCCGACTGACGCGCTCCTTCATCCCCGACCCGTTCTACCATGACTTCTCCATCGTGGTGACGGCCAGACCCAGCTCTCGGCACGGAGGAGTGCTGTTCGCCGTCACAGACGCGCTGCAGAAGATCATCCATCTGGGAGTGTCTCTGGCGCCGGTGGAGGACGGGTCCCAGCGCGTGGTTATGTACTACACCGAGCCCGGGGCCGCGCACACACAGGAGGCGGCTTCATTCAAGATGGGCGATCTGACGGGCCGCTGGGCGCGCTTCACGCTGGCTGTACAAGGGGAGGAGGTGAAGCTGTACATGGACTGTGAGGAGCAGCACCGCGTGGCCTTCCGCAGGAGTCCAGACCCACTCACCTTCCAGCCCAGCTCCGGCATCTTCATAGGGAGCGCCGGGGGAACCAGGCTGGAGCGCTTCCTGGTGAGTGTTAGGGATGGGCGATATGGGCTTTAAAATATATCACGGTATTTCTGGTATTTATTGCGATAACGATATCAATGACGATAATTTAGGGAATCCTGTTTCTTAGAGAAAATAATTATCTTTCCTATTTTTACCCAAAACAGGGTGTTGTGAGCGTTACTGAGTACACGCATAATGTAATGACTGTTTAATTCACACAGAGCTGTTTTTGACAGGGTAAAAAGGGTGTTGTTTTACACTACCATTGAGAAATTTTAACCAAAGTATTTTATAGACTTTTCATTAAGAGCCTAAAGAATCATACCAACTTGTGGAAAATGGGCATCCGATGACCCCTTTAATCCAGGAACATGTTGTACTTGGTGAAATCACGTTCACCAGGGATAGGGTTAGGTCTATGTTTTTGGACAATAATATTGATATCTTGCATCCCGGCGTCCGGCTGTGTCCGGACGCGTTTACTGACTCTGTTCTCCGTCTGTGCAGAGCGGGACTCAAGCGCTCAGCTGGACCTCACCGAGCTCATCGGCGTTCCTCTGCCGCCATCTGTGTCCTTCGTCACGGGCCTGGAGGGCTTCCCGGCATATAGATTTGGTCCGGACGCTAACGTGGGCCGACTGACGCGCTCCTTCATCCCCGACCCGTTCTACCATGACTTCTCCATCGTGGTGACGGCCAGACCCAGCTCTCGGCACGGAGGAGTGCTGTTCGCCGTCACAGACGCGCTGCAGAAGATCATCCATCTGGGAGTGTCTCTGGCGCCGGTGGAGGACGGGTCCCAGCGCGTGGTTATGTACTACACCGAGCCCGGGGCCGCGCACACACAGGAGGCGGCTTCATTCAAGATGGGCGATCTGACGGGCCGCTGGGCGCGCTTCACGCTGGCTGTACAAGGGGAGGAGGTGAAGCTGTACATGGACTGTGAGGAGCAGCACCGCGTGGCCTTCCGCAGGAGTCCAGACCCACTCACCTTCCAGCCCAGCTCCGGCATCTTCATAGGGAGCGCCGGGGGAACCAGGCTGGAGCGCTTCCTGGTGAGTGTTAGGGATGGGCGATATGGGCTTTAAAATATATCACGGTATTTCTGGTATTTATTGCGATAACGATATCAATGACGATAATTTAGGGAATCCTGTTTCTTAGAGAAAATAATTATCTTTCCTATTTTTACCCAAAACAGGGTGTTGTGAGCGTTACTGAGTACACGCATAATGTAATGACTGTTTAATTCACACTGGAAGCCAGAGGGCACTCTTGCGCAGAAACTACACATATGCATCGCAGAAGTAATGTCACTGTCGACACTCCATGAAATCCCTAATATGGACAAAGTATCCAGTTATAGCTGAATAAAATGCACAACGGAGATGGAGAAATTTGGTCACAAAAATAAGTTATTTCAACCAGGGTTCGGCTCAGACCTATTTTTTGTCGCACTGTACAGTACAGCCCTGACCAAACCAGTTCCAGATTGTAAAAGTGATCAACTCCTCCTCAATTTCACATCCGCCTTGCACCATGTCTCCCACACTGTCGCACACAGAAATATGTCATCAAATAGTAATATCGCGGGAAGACTTATTCTTATTGTGGGGAGAATTCTTACTGGTCAATCGTAAACGATAAGATATCGCCCTTCCCTAGTGAGTGTCACTGTTTTCTCACGCATGTCTGCAGTAGCGATGATACGTTCAACACGGAAGCTCTGAAGCTTGTATAAAAAAAAACACACATTTCACATTGAAGCACTGTATCGGAGCAGGCCCGATTCTACGGGGGAGCTAGAAGGTGCTAAGCACCCTCAAACGAAATCAATAGCACTCTCAGTTAAAGCTGTAATAATGGCATTTTATTGCAGATTTGGCAAACTATCCAGGGCTGCGTTTCCCAAAAGCATCGTAAGCTTAAGTTGATTGTAGCTCCATTGGTTTCAATGGGTCTATGATGTACTTAAGCTTACGATGCTTATGGGAAACGCAGCCCAGTGCGTTATGGTTTGCTAATTTCTATTTCAATTTGTTTTTGCAGCGTTGAGCAATGTAGCCAATCACAGACATATCTGTCGATATCTTGAATCAGAGGTGTTCAAGTTAGAATCCTCTCACCACGACAGTTTTTTAAATCGGAATTTATATATTAAGATCAAATTAACTTTGGCAATGAAATAACAGTCTAAGGACTGAGGCAGAGGTAAAATAGACAGATCACAGATTTAATTTATGAATTTATGCTTGATTTATTTGAATAATTTTAGTGGCAGTACACTGACACAAATGAATGACTTTGACAATGACCATTATTTATAAACAATAAAAATAAAACAAAGAATCATTTGTAGAACCAGATGTGAAGCCAGCGGCTGTAATAGAGCACTGCACTGTGGAAGGCGTTATTCATTTTTATAACGCTTCACTACAGGATATGAACAATCCAGTTTGATGTTTCCCTTACTAGTACTAGTAAAATAACTAGTACCTTTTCCAGTTTTCTAGATATTTTTCTTACATGTACTAGCTGATCAACAATCACATGTACAAGCTACTAACAAGCTACTAAATGAACAATTATTCAATTATTATTATTAAATTGAACATTTGCAGCTTAATTCACGTGATGTGTGTACAGCTAGGCATCTTTGGTTTCCTCTTTTTGTGTCATTTAGATGGTAAATGTGTGCCTTTTTATCTTTTGAATCACTTATCAAAAGTTGCTAAAGTTTTTTTTAGAAATAGCTAAATTTGTTGCTAGGTGCTTTTGGAAGAAAAAGTTGC